TGACAATAACCCATTTCTAATAATAACATGATATGCCTATAAATATAGGAATTAGTAGGCGTAAACTTTATTGTGGAGTCAAATACAAGAAACATAAAAAAATAGATCGTGATAATGAAGACAAAGCTTATGTTGCCTAGACTCTGGTGGCAATCTCTGTTCGCTCTACAGATTTGTCTTGATCTTATATGAGTTATGTTCACACTATTTCGTTTAAGTGATGAAGGACTGGTAATTGAATTTTCCCACAATCTTATGAGTAGAGCTGACGCTTCCATTGAATTTCACATAGCCCTGCTTTCTCAAAATGTGTTCTCATCCAGGGTGGACTGCAATTTGGGCTTTACCTTGGTTTTGCCAACCCCCCCTCCCAACAGGACTCGAATTATGACAGTACAGCATGCAATATCCACACATTAACCTCTACGCAGCATTACCACGAGTGCCTTTGGGTCATAGGGCAGATGTGAATTTCAAGAAAGATCAGGCCTTTTCCCATATCACATTCTGTTTTGGGCTGTTCACGAAATAGAGTGAACATAATTCATATATCTGATTTACTGGTAGTCTCGCGAACCTACTCAAAACGAAATTGTTTTAAACTTGTTTTAGCAAAGATGTTATTTTTCCAGGTCTACTTTAAAGAATATGCCCCGTCCTGTCTCATCTGCCATTGTTGCCTTGTCGTCTTACAGCCTCAGTATCAATCATAAGGCTCTTGCTTTATCCGTTTCTCTATCACTCCAGCCCAGTCCAATCAAGCACTTTCATTTTATGATTTTTAGTAGATCTGAAGCTCGATCTTCGCATCTCACCAACCAGCACCAACGTTTCTAAGCTGGCTTCCTGGTTTGGCTCATCTCGAAGCTCCTTCAAGTTTCTCTGTCTGGCTTTGTCGTCACGTCTTCTCTCAGCATCGGGTCGTCGACTGGTTACATTTTCAGAACTAAGAATACGCCTTGTTAACATTCCGGTACTGAAAGACGGCATGGCAACACTTTCAGAGGATATAGTGTGCACTTCATTCGTCAAGGTCCCTGTGAAGACACGAAAAGTGTGCGAAAACTAAATCATACCAACTTAATACACCCCTAATCGATGCTGCACACGACTGGGCTCACCATTTCACAGACACCCGCTTCGTTGTAGTTCTCGCCGTCCGGCATCTCCGCCACCACGAGAAATGGGAATATGGGACTGGCAGGAATCGAGCCGGGCCGACACATCCACCGTCCGGTCTCCACTGTCTCTGGCGTCACCTCTACCGGCCAAGGAAACCCGGTAGCACCGCTCTCAAAACGGACGCGCAGGCCATCGCCAAGGTTTCCTCGCGACACCAGACCCTGCAGGCGGACGTAGCCAAGCAGAGAACTGATGCGGCCGCCGTGACCACGATTCTGCTCCAACTGATCCAGGAAAATACCGTTCGTTTTGGTAAACGGGATGG